TCGATCGATAAATATTCAAAATTAATTTTAAATAAAATATTCTTTAAATATTTGGGTGAACTAGTCACATGTATACAATAAACACAAAGTAAGTAGCATATTAACTGTCTTTGAAAAAATTTAATTGCTTATTTTTAAAAAAAGAAAGCAGTTACTTTTATGTTTTCGATTGTATTTTTTTGTGTGCATGTTACGCGAATACTCCGACAATTGTGAACCGATTTCGTTGATACTTTTTTTGTTTAAAGAGAATACCTGAGTGGTAGTTCCATTCAAATTTGAAGAAAATATTACACCCACGGAAGAATGTGGTCTGTGATTACACCTCTGAAGGTGACAAATTGGGGGATGAATCCTGTTTATCAGATTTCACTCGCTTTCCGCTAACCGATTTTTTCATAATATCAAGTGACGGGATGATCAAGCCGTGTGCCTGATGGTAAGCTACACGCCTGTTCATAACAATTGCAGTGCCATTCAGAGCTTTAAATCGCAAAGATCTGAGGGGCACTGCCACTGCGCCCGTCACCCTGAGACATAAGTTGACAAGTCCCATGTGCATGTAATTTTACCAGCACCCTTACCCTTCAAAACCAGAACACAGTAACGCTGACATTACTGCTTGGCGGCAGAAATAGGTAAGGTGGCAGTACTATCATGGATGAACTCTTTCACAAGGAGCTCTACTGCTACTAAAATTTCAATAAAATTTGGCAAATTGTAATTCTACAAACTTACGAGCTCGGTTTTTTTTAAAGTTGTAATTATTCAACTTGCGTTTAATAAATCCTCAGCAGCGATTGTGGCGTTTTTTTTTTTGGAGGAAATTGTATCTATAAATAAAGTGGACATTTAAAAAATAACATGGCGGTGGTATAACCTTGTACGTTGCTGTAAAATATCGGCAAAACTGAAAGTATCAGATAAAATAACGATCCGTCACGCATTGTACCGTTCTAATCAAATAGGAGTATAACTTATCTGCGTAAATGGTTTCGGAATTATACAGAATACCGTTGTAATATTAATTTAGTATAGATTTGATAGTGTTACAGATTGTAGTTGCACATGTGTAGCAGTTGTAATGAAGAGATATTAGTTTGCTAGTGTTTTTATCAACGTACGAGGTGTAGTGGTGATAATTCTAAGATACTTCCTTTATGAAACAATTGTTTCGGACCTGAATCCCGTGTATTATTTTTTTTAGCTAAGCAACGTTTCGGAGCTTTTTACAGGATCCATGCTCACGGCTGACTGAGATCTGTTAAGGGTCCAAAATGTTGGTTTGTTTGAAAAGAACAAATATACGCGACTTAGATCCGAAACAATAGTTTCAATTCCAATGTGTAACAATCGCGAAGACCTTATGAGCCCGATATGACTGTCTCTATCTAAACTTCAAGTGTGGCGTACACCACTGTAGCTTAATACAGAGTTATCTCTATGGAAGAATAGTGATATATGATTGTAAAATGCGCCGAAATCACGCGACTGAATTTCGGTAGGTGCGGCACACTATCTATGTACTTAACTGTTTTGAGAAAGTTTTATTATCAATTGTTAAGAGTTTGTTAAATTACTTGTCTGTGTGGTATCTGCATTTTATAGGAAGATGTGATTTCAATATTATGTCTGACAAATAAATATGAGACGCGTCTCAAATTCCTATTATGTCCACTAACATCAGATATATTAATAGTTAGTCACTGCGATGCTTTATTTTGGTGTTACGATTGGTTATGCTCTTTTTTTAATGTCTACGAATTCAAATTCTGCTTTCACATGTGACCATTAATTCTTTTTTTTTACTATTTGACTCTTATAGTTTATCCAGATAATTTTTCTTGCTATTTTATAGTTTTTAATGAATAATTTCTGTAATTTACTGTTGTATGTATCCACTAAGCCAAACCAAACATTTTAAATAAATTTGAAATCATTATGGCCGTTATCATCGTTGTTGTAAACACGGTGTTGGTAAAAACCGGTAATTGATGATGATCAATATCACTTTTAGTAAACAAAAAACTTCCAATATTTATATCTGTGAACATGGCCGCATTCAGGAAGTCTAATAAATTCCATGGCATGGTAGTGGTAGTATGGAATTCGGGGAAAAGGGCTTCGGTAGAGCCAGGTGTATTTATTTAGACTAGCTGATGGTGAAGTAAAGAGTATAATTGCTCTTCGAATTTTGAGAGAAAGATTTCTAAATATTTTGAGAAAGTTAGTTAAATAATTTGCTCACTATATTTGTTAATTAGGCGTTAATTCATTCGTCACTCGTCCTAGAGACATACGGTGTCCCTGACGTTTTTGGTACTCTAGCGTCTTAGAGCCACACGGTATCTCTAATATATAGCTGTGTTTTCATCCATCTTCAAATTTTTTTTTTAATTTTTACCAAACTCGAATCGTTAGGGACACCGCGTGTCTCTAGGATGAGTGACGGGTTCATTTTAAGTTTGTAAATTTAGTAGTTTGTCTATAGTACGGTCCTGTAGACATTAAGCGTCTAATGGACATATTCACCAGAGTTTGTCCATATATCACCGTTGACCTCTTCGCTCATCGATCGAATATGGCTCGATTTTAGGACGTGTTTGCCCCTATTGCTAGGCGACCTCGAACTGTAAAACTGGGGTATCAGGTCTTTTTCTCGCCTGAATACAATTTATATTGATATATTATTCAGTAATTATTCATTCTAGCTACGGCTTAATTTAGGATTTCTGGAAAATTACTCAGTCAGGCAACGATTGAATATTTATAGGTCGGGGTAACTAGCAACTTAGATTAATGGTTTGATTAACAATAATGATGTATTATAGATAAACAATTACATTCCTTGAACACCAAGTTTAGAGCAAAATTTACATGTTCATGAAATTGAGCCGCGTTAGACTGTGCGTCGAGCTGTAAAGACGACAAGTTACTTTAAGTCTTTACGAAGACCACCCAATGGTCCTGTTGATAAAAGTTATCACTCATACCAGCAAATTTGTTTTCACAGTAGAAGTAATTATTTCTATAGTATGTTTAAATTCTAACATTGATAATGAAGAAGAAAAACCCAATCAATCTTTAATTAAAATAAATCAAAATATAAATAATCAGTCTTTAATTAAAATAAAAAATGGAAGACAAATTAAAGTTAGAAATTTATGCCTTGCATTTTCATTAAGCCTTGCATTTTCATTAAGCCTTGCATTTCCATACTGTCCTTACTATGTATGTAAAGGGGGTCGATGCATTCAGCATTCTGACTCATTTCTATATCGGGAAGATGCCGATCTTGCAACTCACGCCTGCTCGACGTCTTCGCATACCAATTATAGCAAATATATTTGCCTTTAGTAAAACTGGTACGAGGTAGTAAGTAAATAATAAAATATCAATTTTACAAATGCGTTTATAATTTGGTCTATATGACGTAAATAATATCAAAGACAAAAATATAATAAAAATCCTCAAGTATTTTCGACGCGTTTACGTGATATCGTGTTATATAAAACGCAGAGCAATTCAGATTTTCGTTCTTTGCATGCATTTGTTAATATACAGTATTTTTAATGAGACATTATGGGAAATTTAGGTAGTTATAGGTAAGTAGACATGTAAATTGGTTGCTGTAAGATTGAACTCTCAATGAAAAAAGGTTATTTAATACCTTATTATTTGAAATAACAGATTGATTATGTCCCTATATTATTTTCAAGTTCTAAATGGTATGGCGTTTACCATCAAAGCGTCCCTTTTTTAAAAAAAATTTAGCAAATGACAAGGTTCAACTCGTGTCAACAAAATAATGAGAACGTACCTAACTGCATCCAATCTAATATGGGCATATACTACATTCCTGTTTGATTATAATCAGAAGATTAGTCATGAAAGGTTCAGTGGGTGTTACTATAGTAACGGTAGCGGTTGAAACTAGTAGGTCACCCGAGGCCTTTTACAGGCTGGGGTTGCTGAAAACATATAAGCAAGTTTCATGTAGAAATATGTAGAGAAAAGTACGCTATTAGTTGATTTCTTAAGTTAGGTCACTAACCTAGTTTGACAGTTCATAATTATTACAATCCTTTATGTTAGAATACGCTTAGAAAGCTTTGATGTGGTATTTTATATGGTAATAACTTATAGGTAAAGAGTAATTGAAATACTTACTTTAAATTACCATCTTTTATGTTAAAAGGGAATTGTTTAAATATTGCTTACAGTGGTAATTTATTAATAAGCGTAATAGAAAACTAGGCCAGCTTGACTTTTAGATATTCCGGAAATGTTAACACACATAAGTACCTTACCTACTGTTGATTTCGTTGGCGATGCTCAATTACAGCGCCGGTACGTCAGTACGCCACGCGCTTCTGTCTCGAACAGCCTTGCCCTACAAAACATATTCTATTCGTGCCTTCTATTAGTTAAGCCACATTAAAACTAAGCGAGTTGCTTTCTTTACAAACGAATTTGAATATACGAATCGCGAAATGAATTAGCTGCGGTTTAAAAAACAAAGAGAGAAATATTTAAATTTTTTTGCGTCCTGCGTGTTGACATGAGTTGGTTTACTCAAAGAACTGCCGTGCAGTGCCGTATGCACCACTTGGGTACTGTTATGTGGAACTCCAGTGTAGGGACGTAACTGATTGAAGCGCGATGGACGCGTGCGATGGCCGAGCCGCTAACGCTGCCGCCACTGCCACCGCTACGACGTTACTCCATCTATTTACACCCCTATCTTGTCAAAAGGTGTGACTATGTAGTAAGATGTGACAGTAATAGCCATTACCAATACGTTTTCAAAAGTTTTGCATGTATGAAAGCATTGATGTGTGTTGATAACGTGAAGGATATGTGTCAGAATTGTAGAAAATGGAAGGTTGTGAAGGTCTCTGCCTACCCCGATGGGAAAAGAGCGTGAAGATATATATGTTGCAGTGATAGAAGAACACATTGGCAATGTTGGTGACTAAATTGTGTTTATTTTTTTACAGACGTCATCGTTGCCCACACAACGATGTCCCGGAGCCATTGTTCGATGTGGAGCACACGACGAATGTGGTGTCTGCGTACAAACAGGATTATGATGAAAAACACGTTAGTCGCACTACTACTGTGCATCATGAAGACCATCTACGCCTGGAGGGCGATTTTCAAGAGCCTCATCGGCCGAAATGGCAAGCCGCTGAGCGCCCCAAACAAATAAAACCGGAAGACAATCTCAAACCAGAAGGAGATTTTGAAAAGCGGCGACCAGAAGAATGGCGTCCTGGTGACAGAGCCCCTGTAAGAAAACCTGACGATAACTTGAGGCCTGAAGGAGAATTTACTACTCCTGAGAAAGAACAATGGCGGCCAGCTGAAAGGCAAAAGCCAAAAAAGCCTGATGATAATTTGAAACCGGAAGGAGACTTTGAAAAGCGCAAGCCTGAGCAGTGGCGACCCGGTGACAGAGCTCCAGTGCGTCGTCCTGAAGATAACTTAAAACCGGAAGGCGATTTTGAGCAAAGGCGACCTGACGAGTGGCGTCCCGGTGACAGAGCACCCGTTCGGCGTCCTGAGGATAATCTTAAGCCTGAAGGTGACTTTGAGAGACGTAAACCAGAAGAGTGGCGCCCAGGCGACCGCGCGCCAGTACGTCGTCCTGACGACAACTTGAAACCTGAAGGCGACTTTACCACCCCAGAGAAGGAAACCTGGCGCCCAGCTGAAAGGCAAAAGCCTAAAAAACCTAGTGACAATTTATATCCTGAAGGTGACTTTGAGAAGCGCAAACCTGAGGAGTGGCGTCCAGGCGACAGAGCTCCAGTGCGTCGTCCTGACGATAATCTAAGACCTGAAGGCGACTTTGAGAAAAGGCGCCCTGAAGAGTGGCGTCCCGGTGACAGAGCACCAGTTCGGCGTCCTGAGGATAATCTTAAACCTGAAGGTGATTTCGAGAAACGTAAACTGGAAGAGTGGCGCCCAGGCGACCGCGCACAAGTACGTCGTCCTGACGACAATTTGAAACCTGAAGGCCAATTCACCACTCCAGAGAAGGAACCCTGGTGCCCAGCTGAAAGGCAAACGCCTAAAAAACCTGGTGATAATTTATATCCTGAAGGTGACTTTGAGAAGCGCAAGCCCGAACAGTGGCGTCCTGGTGACAGAGCTCCAGTGCGTCGTCCTGAAGATAATTTAAAACCTGAAGGTGACTTTGAGAAAAGGCAACCTGAAGAATGGCGTCCCGGCGACAGAGCACCTGTTCGACGTCCTGAGGATAATCTTAAGCCTGAAGGTGACTTTGAGAAAAGGCGACCTGAGGAGTGGCGTCCCGGTGACAGAGCACCAGTTCGGCGTCCTGAGGATAATCTTAAACCTGAAGGTGACTTCGAGAAACGTAAACCGGAAGAGTGGCGCCCAGGCGACCGCGCACAAGTACGTCGTCCTGACGACAATTTGAAACCTGAAGGCGAATTCACTACTCCAGAGAAGGAACCATGGCGTCCAGCTGAAAGGCAAAAGCCTAAAAAACCTGGTGATAATTTATATCCTGAAGGTGACTTTGAGAAGCGTAAACCTGAGGAGTGGCGTCCAGGTGACAGAGCTCCAGTGCGTCGTCCTGAAGATAATCTTAGACCTGAAGGTGAATTCACTACTCCAGACAAAGAACTTTGGCGTCCCGCAGAAAGACAAGTACCCAAAAGGCCACAAGATAACCTAAAACCCGAGGGAGAGTTCGAGAAACCTAAGCAAGATGAATGGCGCCCAGCTGAAAGGCAATCACCAAAAAAACCAGAGGACAATTTGAAACCAGAAGGAGCATTTGAGAAACCTAAGCATGACGAATGGCGTCCCGCAGAACGACAAACACCCAAGAAGCCACATGATAACCTAAGACCTGAGGGAGAGTTTGAGAAACCTAAGCACGATGAATGGCGTCCCGCGGAAAGACAAACGCCCAAGAAGCCACAAGATAACCTGAGGCCAGAGGGTGAGTTTGAGAAACCTAAGCACGATGAATGGCGCCCAGCTGAACGGCAAAAGCCGAAAAAACCTGTGGACAATTTAAGACCAGAAGGCGACTTTGAGAAGAGAAGGCCTGAAGAATGGCGCCCAGGCGATCGAGCAGCTGTTCATCGCCCTGGCGATAATCTCAAACCTGAAGGAGAATTTACAACACCAGAAAAAGAAGAATGGCGTCCTGCAGAACGTCCAAAACAAAAGAAACCTGAAGACAACTTGAAACCAGAGGGTGAATTTACAACTCCCGATAAACCAGATTGGAAACCTGCTGAAAGACCGAAGCAAAAGAAACCAATGGATAACTTGAAACCTGAAGGTGAATTCACTAGCACAAGAACTATAACCGAAGATTATAAGATAGTAACCGGAGAACGAGCTGAAATAGTGAGACATGTTGACAACATTATTACTGAAGGAGAATTTGTAGGTAAGACTTTTAATACAAATTTAATATTAGGTACTTAACGCTTTCTTTCGGAAAGTTATTTATTATGTTCTATGTTTTACGTTTCAGATACCACTACTTCCCGCACTGAGTATACTATTAAGCCAGCAGAAAGACCAAAGCCGGTTCGTCGTAATACTTGGACAAAGATTGAAGGCGAGTTGACTACTGACACGACTTCTAAAACAGAGTATATTGATTTTACTGACATGGTAGAAAGAACTACTACGGTCGCGAGAAGAGCTGACAACTTAGTCCGAGAAGGGGAAATTGATTTTGTTACTTCTACACAGACGGATTTCACTCAAAAAGTTTCACCAGTAGAACGTAAACAAAGACGTCGTACCTGGACAAAAGAAGATTTTGAGAAATTTTATTCCACGGAAGAATTACAAAAAATAACCACTTCACAACACGAATATAGAGCATATGAGGATACAGATGTAAGACAACAAATTATTAGAACAGATAATCTCCACACAGAAGGTACATTTGAAAGTCTCACTGTCTCACATGACGCTTTTCAACCAAAATTTACTGAGCGACCTAAACAAAAGAAACCGTTAGACAATTTGAAACCAGAAGGTGAGTTTGAGAAACCGAAACATGATGAATGGCGTCCTGCTGAACGTCAGACTCCAAGAAAACCTAAAGATAACTTGAAACCTGAAGGAGAATTTGAATCTCATAAACCAGAAGAATGGCGTCCAGCTGAAAGGCCGGAAGTAAAAAAGCCAAAAGATAATTTGAAACCCGAGGGAGAATTCGAGAAACCGAAGCAAGACGAATGGCGTCCAGCAGAAAGACAATCACCTAAGAAACCAGAAGACAATTTGAAACCTGAAGGAGAGTTCGAGAAACCAGAACACGAGGAATGGCGCCCGGCCGAACGACCTGAAGTTAAAAAGCCTAAAGATAACTTAAAACCAGAAGGTGAATTTGAAAAACCTAAGCAAGAAGAATGGCGTCCAGCAGAAAGACAAACACCTAAGAAGCCACAAGACAACTTAAGACCAGAAGGCGAATTTGAAAAACCAAAACATGTTAAATGGCGACCAGCTGAAAGGCAAACACCTAAGAAACCCGAAGATAATTTGAGACCCGAGGGCGAATTCGAGAAACCTAAGCATGAAGAATGGCGTCCGGCAGAGAAACAAACACCTAAGAAGCCGCAAGATAACCTAAGACCAGAGGGAGAAT